TTTTTTATTGCAGCTTAAATTACCAGACATTTAGGGAGCAATAACTCATTTATTAGCTCACAATCCTGTGGTTTGAAAGTCCAGGCACACTGTAACTGCTTCTCTGTTCCGAGGTGGGACTTTTGGAAGGCTGAAATCAAGGTATCAGGGGGTTTCATTTCCTTTCTGGAGGTTCTGGGGAAGTATCAGCTTCCAAACTCATTCAGGACATCAGCTAAATTCAGTTCCTTGCATTTGGAGGACTGAGGTCCCCGTTTTCTCATTGGCTGTCAGCTGGGGTGGGTGGGGAGGCACTCCCAGCTTTTACAGGCCACTTGCATTCCTTGCCACATGACCCTCTCTGACTTCAAAGATAGCAGGACAATGTCTCTGTGTCAAATCCATCTTACCCTCTGAATCTCTAACTTCCCCTGTCTCTGACCTCTGCACTCAGATTTAAAGGGCTCATGTGACCAGTCAGCCCCATTGGGATAATCTCCCTACTGTGGACTTTAATTACTTCTTCAAAATACCTCATCAGCAACATGTAGAAGAGTGTAAATGAATAACTGAGAGAAGGTAGGTATACAGCAGGGTCCAGGAATTCTAGGGAGCTACCTTAAAATTCTGACTGCCACAACTGTGAAGGCTTAAAATTAGTGTGTGTGTGTGTGTGTGTGTGTGTGTGTGTGTGTGTGTCCATAAACAGTATATACAGTTGTCCCTCAGTATCTGCAGGGGATTGGTTCCAGGACCCCTTGAGAATACCAAAATCCACAGATGCTCAAGTCCCTGATCTAAAATGGTGCAGTAATTGCATATAATCCATGCACAACCTCCCATATACTTTAAATCATCTCTAGATTATTTATAATGCCTAAATGTACATGCTGTGCAAATAGTTCTTATAATATATAGTTTGTAGAGAATAATGACAAGGAAAAAAAGTCTCTACATGTTCAGTTACAGATGTAATTTTGTTCCCCAAATATTTTTTTATCTGCAATGGTTTGAATCCATGATGTGGAACCTGCAGGTCCAGTGAGCCAACCCTACATGTGTACACATAGACGCTTATATCTTGATGTGAATCTTCTCTGGCTTGTTTAATAAGTATTGCACTTACTATGCTTCACTGCAGGATCCCCAGTACCACTGACTCTCATTCAGTACGTTCTGAGAACCAAACCTGTGCCACAGTGTCCCAGCTCTTCAAATGCTCTCCCTGAAGGGTTTGAAATTATTAAGAAAAGAAGAGCTCACCAGTTGCTCTAAGGTATACTAGAATGGCTAAAGAGAAGGAGAGAGGGAGATCTTCTCCTGTTGAGGAAATTCAAAAAGCTTCAGGGAGAAGATGCCTTTTGGTTTTAAGCTTGAAGAGAAGTGGGACTGTAATAAGAAGAGTCACAGACAGGGTATAGGGCAATCCAGGTGGAATTCATCAAGGCACCATGCAAGCAAAGACATTAAGGAGAGAACTCTTGGGCCATATCCAGAAAACAGCAGCAGGTCAGTCTGGATGGAGAATGAGAGGAGCAATTAGAGAAAACGCTGATATCAGACTGAGAGGTCTCAGAAGCCAGGCTAAAAAATAATGAAGGGCCAGAGAATAATTATCAGAGGAAACAATAAAATTAGTGCTGCTGTTTAGAAATAGGAGTCAGGTGGGGGCATGCAGGCTGAGGAAGAGGGAAATTCTGAGCTCTTCTGATGGAAGATGAGCAAGGAGGCTTTGGCAGCCATCTACGGGATGAAGGCTTGGGCTGTGCGTGAAGGCCATGCACGAAGCGTGTGGACTGGGAGAATGAGTGGTCACTAATGACTCAGAGGCCTTCATGCCTGTGATGGAGAACGCTCCCTGATTACACCTTATTATCATCTCCATGACTCAAGAAACCAAAGCCTTTGTGGCTAGAAGGGATTTCAAGGGCCCAGACAGAGGCAACTGAGGACTAGCCAAGTTAAATATCATTTCAAAGACCCTTGGCTGACTCAAGCAAGGAAACCCAGGTCTCTGTATTTGCTATTGGATGAACTACTCCCTGGTAATCATCTCAAAGTTCTTTTAGTGGCAATATATAAAAAGTAAATTATATAACTTGTCACTGGGTAAAAGGCTAAGGGCTGGGGCTAAGGGTTGACACGGGTGAATTGGAAAACAGTTTCAGCGCTAATGTGGATCCCACTTCTCTCCAAACTACTTTATGAAAGTCTCCAAAATGTTTTGAAAACCACTTCCAGAGAACAGTACACACACACATGTGAATTTTATACATAGATAAATACATACTAGAATTGCCTTTAGAAGTTCAACATAACAGTGGGTTTGCTATTACCTTCTAGAGCTTTCCAGTGGTTTTAATTCAAAGGATCAAATTCTCTTTCAATATTAGTTCTTAAGTTGAGGAGAAAAGGGCATTGCCAAAAGCCACTTGGATATTCTCACAGTGAAATCCTTCCCATTAGCTAACCCACAGCCGAATGACTACAGCAGCTCTCTGGTTATTTCTTCTACCCAGTTTGAGTGTTTTCCAATCACATCAAACAGTTGCTGAGTGGATTCTGGAAGCTATTGTTTCTGTGACCACTCCTCATTCTCCCAATCCACACGCTGCGCGCACAGCCTTCACGCACAGCCCAAGCCTTCATCCTGTAGGTGGCTGGCAGAGCCTCCTTGCTCATCTTCCATCAGAAGAGCTCAGAATTTCCCTCTTCCTCAGCCTGCATGCCCCCACCTGACTCCTATTTCTAAAAAGCCACACTAATTTTATCCCATCCCTAGAATTTCAGGGAATGAACTGACAGCAGTTTTTCCAAATGTTGGAATTTGTGACTGCTTCCTGTGTCCTGCATTAAATACCTGCAAGAAAGGGAGGTTGGCCCAATTTCATACAAGCAGAAAAACAGTCATCTAGTGTCCCACACTGCCCAGCAGCCAGCAATCCAAGACTGCTGACAGTAATTCACCTTGCCCAGCTTGCGAGCCAACGCCTTCACTTTTGTTGAAGTTTGAGCAGAGATTTTTTTTTTTTAAGGAAAATAAGATTGGGGAGTCGGGGAGCAGACCAATGAAGGAAGCCTAATTCCCTAGGTCCCTCCTAAAACATGTCCTGAAAAGTACACTCGACCAACAGGATAACAGACACCACTGAAAAGTGCCATTTTTTCAAATCCTCCTGAAAGCAAAAGGATTATGCTGCTCTGAGGCAGGGGACAGGCCACAAGGGGTTAAACTGAGACTGTGGGCTGAGGGCAGAATCCTTTAGCCTGTTGTGAGAACTCATAAACCATGAGGAAAAGGTCCAGATTCCAAGGTCATAAACTTGTCAAGATTTCTGGTTTTAACTACAAACTAATGGAATTCCTGGGAATCAAATCCACTGGCCCGCTGCCTGGTGGTTTTAAAGAGATGTACTGCCTGGGAAGTCCCGAGCCTGGCAAACAGGAAACCTACAATTGCTCAGTCCCGGAGGCCATCTGCCTCCCTTCCCCGGTGACTCTGCCAATGTGCAGAAGGCTAAAGCTGTACAGCACCCAGCCTAACAGAGACCCTTCCCATTGCATCCCTTAGGAAGGTTCTGGAGGAAACAGACAAGGGGCACTCTCCCATCAGGCAGACCCTAAGGTAGCCAAACTGACCAAGTATCCCATTCTGCTACCATGGCAGGAGATGCCTGCTTTACCTGTCCAGCAGGAGGTGGGCCACTGTCATGGCCCCCAACCACTACATATTGCTTTATCATTTCCTCCTTTCTAAGTGAGAGTATGTCTTGTGGTTACCCAGTTTTCCCTTTCGTGTTATACACTGCTATTTGAGAATGGTTAAACTTTCCATTTAATCACAGATGATTAAGTGGATCATGAGAAGCACATCTGGATCTGATCAAAAAGAAAGTATCATCCCCAAGATTCCTGGTCTTGGAACTGGATGCATATCCAGCCTTTGAGTTGTATTCCCCTAGGATTCCTTTTTTTTTTTTTTTAATGGTAGGTGGGATAGTTCCATTCTGTTAATAGAGGACATTTTTTCTTAATATTACAATGATGCATGGCATAATGACAGAGATGCATTATGAGAAATGCACCACTAGGTGATACCGCTATTATACAAGCATCCCAGAATACGTTTGCACAGACTAAGATGGTTATGCTATCTCAGGTGATAAAAGCTTATGGGACCACCATTGTATATGTGGTCCATTTTGACCAAAATGTCATTATGTGGTATCTGAGTGTAAATGTATATGTGCACAGGCCACACAAACAGTAGTAGTTAAGAGACAGCTGCAGCTATTGTTTTGGTCTGTAAACATGTTTTTTCTTGTGCCCCCTTTTTTCCCTAAATATTTATTTTTTAGTTGTAGTCGGACACAATGCCTTTACTTTATTTATTTATTTTTATGTGGTGCTGAGGATCAAACCCAGGGCCTCAGACGTGTTAGGCGAGCGCTCTGCCATTGAGCCACAACCCCAGCCCCTTGTGCCCCTTTTCTAGGTGGGAATTTCATCCCCCTCTTAGTACAACCCAAGCAGAGCTACTGATCACATTGCTCTGCCCCCCAAGAAGCCACAGGAGTAAACACAAAACACAAGAAAAAAGCCAATCATAGCTTCCCTATCTTCTGTCAACAGTGACTTATCCAACAGATAGACACCCTCCCTGAATTAAAAACCTTTCCGTTCTCATTGAAGTAGTTCAGCTGGGGCAGCAGGGACCTATCTCTCCTACAGTAGGAAAAACTAAGACCACTGACATGGAGATCAGGGACAAGAGGCAGAAAGAGAGGAGGAGCCCCACTCATGGTGCCCTGGAGGCCTGAGCTTAGAGCTCTTTTTACAAGGCTATAAACTACCCCACACACACATGCATTCTTTTCAATTGTGGTTTTTTGCTTAAGAGAGTAGGAGCTGGGTTTCTGTCATCTGTGACAATTTAAAAAGAGATCTCAACATAAACTTGATGCTAGAAATTGAATAGGGCAAAAATCAGGACAGCGTTCATAGGCAGAAAATGGTTTTACCTTTCACCTGAGCCCAAACTGCACAGGAGTATCTTCTCACCTGTAAGCAAAAAACAAAGTAGCACATTTAACTCGGTGGCACATACTGTCTGTTTAAACAACAGAGCTGAGAGGCTGAAACCTTTGGACCCTCAGCTTTTTTACATCTCAACTTGAACTGGAAGATCTCTAGAGTCCCATCTAGCTTTTCTACCTTATGATTCAGCCATATGTCACCATTGTTCAAGGGACTGGCATGGGTAGCAGGCACAGAAGTGACTCAGAAGATCACTTCTATAGGTTTCCAAATGATCTCAGGAAGGACATGCTACTGTAAACACGAGAATGACAAGAGCTTCATTTCACCACCAGCTCCAAGATCCTGATTTTAACTGCCTTGAAGAACTCTGTTGAGAATCCTGAGGTCACAACCAAGTTCAGCAGAACTAGTGATGCATGTTATAAGCCAGGTTATGACAAGTCCTGATACATAATAATTCCTCGCCTGTCTGAATGACACATGGCAACATCAGTTACCCAAAATGTATTCAAGAACAAGCAAGTGACTATCTGAGCTACTGATCACATTGTCATTATGCCATGCATCATTGTAATATTAAGAAACACACATGGAAACTCATCATGGTAGAAGAAACCTACAAACCACTGGAATGGAATACCTTTCCTTCTCTGCATCATTATTAGTGCATATTTGTCAATCAGGACTGCTGGGATTACTGGGTATGATAAAACTCTAACATGATAGACCCCAGAGGAAGTTGAACAGCAGGAGTTAGAGAAGGAGTCCTTCAGCCTCCTTAAGAGAGTCAAGTGACAACAGCTGGCATTCTTGTTTTCATTTTATTAGAATATTTTTAAAATATATTTAAACTGAAAATTTTCTTGGAAAAGCTGAAAACAGTTGTAAGGTTTTGATTGAGATTAAATTTCACCTTGAGGCTAAGTACGAAGTTAGGAAGGAAGGACAAGAATAAGTAGAGAAGGATGTATTTCAAGACACTGGAGAAGCAAAGGAACTGCAAATAGCAAGGTAGTTACTAGGGAAGTGAAAAGTGTTCAAGCAAAGAAATGAGTGGAAGAGGAGAGCTCTTTACATTGAGGGCCTCGACCAGATGTGCATTTTAGCACTCATCCTGACAGCAGTGTGGGGCACAGAGACGAGTAGAAATAAGAGGCAGAAAATATGAGCTGGAAAAGAGATGTACAGAGAAGACAACAGCTGAACAATGCTGGTGGAACAGGAGAAGACTGCACTATTTCAAGCAGGCTTCAGGTGACAGAGGTGATAGACTGATGTGATGTCATGAAAGACTGGACAAGAGGTAAGGAGGAAGAATTACTCCTGGGTTTTCTGCCTCGGTGACTGAAAGTATAGTGATGCTACTTGTTAGAACAAATCCATAGAAGAAAAAACAAAATGGGAGAGTTGGAAGAATCCCCTTCCTAATTTCAAAATTCACTGTAAAGCTACAGTAATCCGGACAGTATGATATTGCTTGGTGCGGTGGCATATGCCTATAATCCCAGGGGCCTGGGAGACTGAGGCAGGAGAAGTGCAAGTTCAAAGCCAGCCTCAGCAACTTAGCGAGGCCCTAAGTAACTTAGCAAGACCTTGTCTCAAAATATAAAACAAAAAGGGCTGGGGATGTGACTCAATGTGTTCTTGGGTTAAATCTCCAGTACCAAAAAAACCCCATAGCAAACAAACAAACAAACAAAAAAACACTGTGATACTAGCATAAAGACAGATGTATGGATCAGAATACAGAGCTCACAAATGGATACTTACATATATGCCAAATGATTCTTTTTAGTTATAGGTGAACGCAATGTCTTTATTTTACTTTATGTGGTGCTGAGGATTGAACCCAGTGCCTCATACATGCTAGGCGAGATTCTACGTCTGAGCCACAATCTCAGCCCTCTGCCAAATGTTTCTTGACAAGAGTGTCAAGAACATTCACTGGTAAAAAGACAGCCTTTTTGATAAGTCGCGTGGGAAAACTGGATATCCATAGCAAAAAATAATAATAATAATCGGTTGGATCCTTACCTAATACCATATGCAAAAAGTAACTCAAAATGGATCAAGGTACCTCCAGATTTCTTTGCTAGTTGGACATAGTCTTAAAAGTAACCGTTGTTTTAATATCTTGTCCATTGCACATTAGACTTGTATTCTATCTAGAATTTAATAAAGTGTCTCTGATTTAAATATGTATTAAACCTTACACTTGAGATGGCTACATATTTTGGCCCCAAATTTACCAGTCAAGAGATGTTTCACTAGTATTAATATAACTTTGTTTAGTTTCCACTACTAACCCATGTGCATTTACACCAAGCTTAGGGTCTCTAGGTCCTTCCAGATCCTCTGTCCTTGACTGACTGATACTGAATAGTTCTTGCTATTCTGCTAGTCCAGCCCGTTACATTTACTAATTATCTAATGAATATTGACTTCTCTGTCTCATGACAGAAACACTGCTGGAAGAGCAGAGCCTTCCAGAGTGGAGAAGTGGAGCCCACTCTATAGCCAAGGAAACAAGGGTAAGGATAAAGTGGGGCAGGGCTGTGCTTAACTGCCCCTCCCTCCTTCTTTGCAGGATGAGTGGAGGTAGCAACACAGGAGCAGTATGGGGAAGCTGACAGAGAGATCTAGATGGTCCTCCCGACTCAGATGTCAGCAAGGCAATAGAATGCAGTTATTCATGAAGCTTAGGAATAACCAAGGCCAGATCAACCCAAATGCAGATCCATCAAGGTCTCGAATGCAATGTAATCCTCCTGGTGCATTTCAGTGGTCATTACATGGACTATACATCTCAAATACTGGGAAGACACATGTTCAACCAAGTAAACTTCATATGAAGAAGAACATTTAGAGTTCACAAGAGATTTTTTAAAGAACTATACCTTATTCCATTCACTTGTGATTCGTAATATAATGCAGTAATCGTTCCCTATTTTCAAGGGTGCATTATAATATTTGCCATAGTATAGCCTGTCTCCAATAGAAATATCCATGGTATCATCTGCAACATCTCTGGCCAGCAGTTCTGCAGCCACATATCCATCAGCATCAGAGGTGTTGTTAAAGAACAAGGTAGCACCTTCGGAATCACAAGAAAATGTGTTTTGGAGAGCCAGAGGAAGCACCACCACCTGATAAGTACTGGAAGGAAAAAGAAAGCAGAGAAGTTGGCAGGGACTCATTACACTGGAGTGCCTTGATCAGATGTGCATTTATAAAACTCACCTATTGGACCCTTGCCTGGAGAGCTCATGCATTCATTCATTCATATACACTGAAATCCTACTATGAGATGAAGTACTTTTCAAGGCACTGGGGACACAATGCCGGAAAAGAAAAAGCTCTGGCCCACATGAGATTTACTATCTGAGGGCTCAAACAGTTGTGGAGCACCAAACTGACCTTGAGTGTGAACGCCAGATAACACTGGCTGATAACCTCTCCAAGCTCCAGCCAAGGACATCTTCTTTAGCTGGGAGAAGTCTTTGGCATGTACAGCTGCCCTGCCGTGTGTGCCATAAAGTTGATCTAATCAGTGATTTTTCACATGGGCAAATAAAGAACAGCAGTAGAAAGGGTTTAACAATCACACGGAGGCCAACTGCCCAAAACAGTTAATGTCCTAAGTCTGAGCAAAGGCTCCAGACAATCATGTGGCAACTTAAAACAGAACTCATGTGATTTACATTCTCTACAGTTCACAGGCTGATACCAAAGTTCATGTGAAATAAACGAGAAGCCAGGAGTACAAAGGCACCATGAGTTAATCTAGGCTCACAAGGTCTCAACACGGGAAGAAAGGTAAAAATGACACTTGTGCATTCTAAAACTGTTCCCTAAGTGTGCACACAGAGACACGCTAACAGTCAGGGATCATTGTGTCATGTATTTTGTTATTATTTATCCCACCACATAGAAAACCTACCAGGAAGGAAATAGAACATAAAAATGCACCACGGGTGAGTCACACCATCCTTTCCATTTCCATCTACTCTGTGCTTCTCTCCCACCTCTGGTGCGGTACATGTTTGAACATCTGCTTCCTTGATCAGACGCAAGAGCAGGGATTTGAACACCTTACTCTTGTATCCTTGTAAATCCTTGCACATTTCTTTGGCTATGATCAGCCCCCATTAATGTTTCATGAGCTGAACTTTCAAGTAAAGAGGAAGAGACTGTATCATCACCAAATGTAATTAGGGTAATTTCCAAAACTCGTTTAAGCCACATAATTCTATTTTACCACCAAATCTGCATTTCCCACTCCATATTCCTAGTGACATCTCCCGCTTCCTAAAAGTTCATGGATCACTAAGTTAAGAAGAGGGAGCCGGGCTGGGATTGTGGCTCAATGGTGGAGTGCTCGCCTAGCACGTGCGCGGCCCAGATAAATAAATAAAAGTATTATGTCCAACTACAACTAAAAAAATAAATAAATATTAAAAAAAGAAAAGAAGAAGAGGGAGCCCTCCCTAGCAGCAGGTGTTGTATTTGGAAAGTCTCCAGCCACCCATCAGGTTAAAAAATATTTTAGGTGTCCTGACGGCTCTGATTTCCACAAAGTCTGGGCTCACTTTCAACAAAGGGCTTTCTACAAAAGAAACAAAATAAAACCTGCAGGGCAGTAAGTAGTCATCTCCACCACCAGTAAACATTTGCTGAGCCTCCACTCCTACAGGCAACCCCTCTAATAACAAATTTCCCGGAGATCTGAAATCATTCCCATGAATCATGGCTGCAGGTGAGAAAGGAGGCTGCACCATGCTGTCCATAAGCACATCTTCACATCCCTCGCATCTTTCCGTGCAGGTGGTGGTGGTCATGTACAAGTTCAAGTCTCACCTGCACCCATTTGGTTTTGTTCCTTGCCTACTAAAGGCATCATTCACAGGACAGGAAGCAGCTCCCCACTCAGCTTGAGGATTATACAAATACTCAGACTCCATCCCAGACCTACTGAATCGAAACCTCCAGAAGAGCTGGGAATTCGTATTGCTAATAAAGCAGCCCAGTCAGGTGATTCCTATAACCTGGCAAAAGTGAAGACAGTAGAACTAAGGGAGCCTAGCTACAGGACGAATCTTTGGCCTAAGATCAGCAAATTCAACAAGGGGGATTTGGTGCCAGGGTCCTTGCTCCACTATGTACCCCAAGTCCCACTGCTCCCAAACAATGCACCAAGCAGACTCAGGCCTGGCAAAACTGCTAGCCCCAGCTCAAAGCAGGTGGTCAGGCTGAGGAAATCAGCCCACTGGCCTGATAGTAATGGGCCCTGATGACGTCAGGGAAGCAGTTGTGGTGGCCTGAAACCCAACCCTTCTGGAAGCATTTCTCCCCTGTGTCTCACCACCACCCTCCCCTGAATGACTCACAGACTTCCACTTCCTGTTTTGGAGGCCCTGCCCAACACAGAGCCACAAGGGTAAATGGTCATTTGGCTTTTCTTTTTGCTTTATGTGATTATTTGGCTGAAGTCACATTAACTCTTGCACATTCATTCAGCCAGTGATGTCATAAGCTCTGCCTTCCTTGCAGCAACAGAATTACAGTGCCTTCCAGTAACTTGTCAGGAATCAAAAAACAGCAACATTTATGCCATGTCCATCCTGGAAAGACCCTGAACTTAAACTAATATAGAAGTAGGAAAGCTCTAAGTTTCATTATAAATGGACCCACAGATAATATCTCCAGACTTTCTTTTTTCATAAATTTACAGTATCTCATATTTATTTTTACCTTGCTGGCACTGAGGGGTCACTAGACTGAAGAGTCAAGAGAGACATGAAGTTACACGGGTCAGGCCGCACACATTGTCATCTCGACCTGGTACTGTGGGCAAGCTGCTCCTCTCTCCAGGCCAACCTAATCTTCCTCTCTATCCTAACTTGACCTTTGCAAATAAAATGCAAAATTGAACACAATGTAGTCTTCCAACAGAAGTCAATTAATGCCATCCTAATTACATCTGGAATTTAGCAGCAGTCATTAACTACACAGTATTTACCCATAACTCAATTCAAAAATAGATAAAAAAAAAAATTACCCAAATGACCTTTTCACGACACAGTCTTACATAAAGACAAACATGTTCTGTCTCTGGCAAATGAAAGGATGCTCCTGACCCACTGTCACTAAAGGATGCACTACAGGATGTGAGTACAAAGGGCAGTGCCTGATATGGCCAGCCAAAGCTTAATATCTGGAGCTAAGCTGCCCAAGTGTTTGAGCCTGGTCACTTAAAATCTCTCTCTCTCTTGCTGGGGTGATACCATATACCTGTAATCCCGGTGACTCAGGAGGCTGAGGCAGGAGGATCATGAGTTCAAGGGTCAGCCTATCTGGAGGGCTCTTTCGGACTAGAGGCCAGGCTGTGCCCAAGGAAGCAAAACATTGCAATGGCCCCAGTGACTCCAGTCTACTGACAGAGTCTTCTCACCCAAACCAGGGCTTCCGGAACACTCTATAGGGGTCCCTGAACAACCCCCAAAGACAAAAGACAACTACTGACCTGATAGGTCCATTTTTATCTTTGACTTTCCTCAGTCTGAGGCGCGGCAGAGGCCCTCCATGCACCATGAAAAACTCTACTTCTGGAAGTGGAGGCTCTAAAAATGTTGAAAAGAAAGAAAGAGATACGATCAGAACAAGGAAAAAGCGCAAAGTGGTCCTCATGGAAGCCGCTAAAGTTTTAATTTAAAAAGTGATCAGCTTATTCTGATGCATCCCTAGGATATAGATAAAGCTTGAAAACATGATGCTCAGGGAAATGACCAGAGGCAGAAGGACAATAGTACATATGTCTCCACTTTTATGAAATTCCTAGAATAGAACAATTTCTAGAATAGACAAATTACATAAAGACATTAATCGATGAGAGGTTGCAAGTGGGAACTTCTTGCTCAGTGACCAGAGGTTCTGTCTGGGGTGATGAAAAGTTTCAGAAATAGTGGTGATGGTTGCACAACACTGGGGATATACTTAGTTCTGTTAAACTGTATACTTAAAAAGGGTTAAAATGCATATATATGTATGTATGTGTGTGTGTGTGTGTATATATATATATATATATATATATATGCAATTTTTTTAAGAGTGATGAGCACGCTCCATCACTGACAGGATGGACACTCTGGGCATTACCATTTGCTTAGTGAGTAGATCCTTGTTTGGTGGGTGCTATGATTTGGATATGGTTTCAGTGTGTCCCCAAGAGATTCATGTGTTGAAAGCCTGGTCCCCAATGTGCTGACATGAGACATGATAGAACCTCTAAGAGGTGGGGTCTAGTGAAGGTAATTAGGTCACTGTGGAGGGAAGGGATTGACACTGATCGCATCAAGTCAGTTCCCAAGAGAGTGGGTTACCCTAAGAAGACTGGACCCATCCCATCTCTGCCTCCTGCCTCACCGTGTGGCCTCTTCCACAAGCACCATATTATGAATGCTGTCTGCCATGAGGACCTTAACACAGGAAAAACTGATGGGGCAGTTTCATCTTGGACTTTCATTCTCTAGAATGAAAACTAAATAAACCTCTTTTTTTATACAAAGTACCTAGTCCTGGGTATTTTGTTATAGCAATAGAAAATGGACAAATACAGTGGGAAAAGCCAACATATCAGACTTCTAGATCCTTTAAAATCACAGAGCTATCTGTTCTTATTTTGTCCTTCCCTTCAACCAGATTTCCCAAATAGGTTTTTCCCTGGGAGAGAAATATATGGCTCACTGAAACCAATGTTCCGTCTCACTAGGAGTTACATTCACAGCACCAATGCATCAGCTGCCAGTCTGCCTGCGTGTGCCATGGTGACGATATACTAGGCATTAACCATACACTAGATGTGTCCTGTACATGCCTCACCTCATTTAATCTCTCCAGTGCTATCAAGTGGATGGTATTTATGGAAGCAGTCATCTTCTCCCTCTCTTGGTATTCCTACCTTTGCCTGTGCACTACAAACTTCTTTCCTCTCAACTAATCGGAAAAGAGCTCCCAGCTGCCCCTCTGTATATTTGATTTGTGGGAGAGCTAGAGTTTGCCTGTTGTGGCCACATGCCCCACATTTTTTCTTCTTCTCCTTTTTCTTTTGTGGGATAGGGGCAGCCTGAACACAGGGCAGATGTCCCCACCTCCTGTTCCCATAACTAGTGCACCAGGCAAACCCTGAGGCCAGGCAGGTCTGAAGCAGGCCTGCACATGGCCTACAGATTCAGCTTCCCCGCAGCTGGGTTGCAAGGTTCAGATGTGAGAGGAAGTTCCAGGAAGCTTTCTTTTAGCCCTGGGCCCAAGCCAGTTTCTGCAGCAACCAAAGTGATAACTGGATCCTTGCCTTACTCTTGTGTATATTTCTCAATTTCCCTAAACTTGCAGGTAGAACAAGTATGATTCTTATTTTCCAAAATCTCATCTTATAGTTATAAGGATACAAATTCATGCAGAAGCTAAATTTTTGTCCAACAGCACACACACTATAGCACGGCTAGGATTTGAACTCATTCTCTACTCTACACCTTTCTCATTCACCTTGGGGTGACTTGAATGTCTGGTTCCACCAAATGGATCTAGCAGGGTTTCCTCACCTTTGAGCGATCTAATAAAATCCACTTATTCACTTTTAATACGCTGAATCTGCAAAGACTTTAGAAACATGTTAACTCTGGGGAAAGAATCCATTTGCTACAATCAGTGTGGAGTCACAGTTCTAACCAGTGTGGCTCACATCAGAGGGGCTGGACTCCAGGTAAGATGCAGAAATAAACACTATCGGTGTAGTGGGTAAGACCAGGGGCTCTGGGTTAGTATGCTGGTCCCACTATTATGCCTCCAACTGCCTCATCTATAAAATGGGAATAGAAATAACCCTCAATTTATAAGCGTGTTGAGGAAACTCATGAGTCTATTAATGATAATTAACAATTATAGTTCACTATTCAGCACACACACACAGAATAGAACAGAGCCTGTAACACAGCAGCCCTGGTGTATGCTGGCCATCTTCAAAACTCACTGGAGTTACAACTACTGGGTGCTGATATCGTGCTAGGCATTTTGCCCCTGCTCTTTCAAGTCCTCACAAGAGCCCAAGTGACCATCACCTTTATTTGATCAATGAGAAAAAAAACAAGCTCAGGCAGGTTGAGTCATAGCACTGAATACAGTTGCATGGAACCCAGGTTAATTTGACTCCAAAGTCAATTTTGTCACATTGCCATGTTAGGACAATGCTTTTGTTCACTTTGCCTGAGATTCAATAATGGCCCAGGAATAGAAACCTAGAACCACAAATTCCTGACACATGGGGACTGGGGTTGTAGCTCAATGGTAGTGCACTTACCTAGCACATGTGAGGCTCTGGGTTTGATCCTCAGCACCATATAAATAAAACAAATTCTTGACAAATAAGGAGCCACTATGCCTTCTCCAGCCGGAGACTATAAGGAACAGAGGCTGAGAGGCCTAGGGATAGGAAACCCCAAGGATCTCTTAATTAGCACAGGTTCAAAGGGAAGAGGTGAGTGGAAAAAATTACTTGGGAAAGGGAAGCTATAATTCAGCTCTTTCCCAGCTCTGGCGCAAGAGAAATGCCATTCAGGCCACTATAAATGAGGTATTTAATATAGTAAGAGGTCCCCCAGTGGAAACATAAGCCAGAAGGAGAGGCAGGATCCCTATATCAGGGCTGGAGAGGATTCTGCAGAATGAACAGGGGGCTGAAAGAAACCAAGCCTGGAAGAGACCAAGGAAAGCTATAAACCTGCAATTGCAAAACTCCCAGAAGATGGGACCCGTATGTCTGAGATTCTCCAAGTCTATATATGTTATCTTTTCAAATCTTATATACTCTGTTGATTGTGTGTTCAGTGTCCCTTTTTCTATGGAGAACAGCCCTCTCCCTCCATATGGTTCTTATGGGGCTGTCACAGTGTTCCAAACCCCCTCTGGACTAGGCTCTGATGATCATGGATGCCATCCTCCAATGACAGGACTGGTCAGGGAGCAATTCATTTAACTTTAAGAGATTACAGGACCTTATTTTTCCTCTTGAATTATAGCTATGAGCCAGAAATATGATGCCTATCCCAGAAAGAGCTCAGCAGAAAGCGGGCAGATGGGCTGACAGAGAGAGCCACAGGGCTCTAGAGGACCATTTGTGGCTGGATCTCGTTGTGCTCTAAGCAAGATCCACTTGAGTTCTTCCTAGTTTTGATTTAACCAATTCCACATACTCGAACTGGTTTGAGTTGGATTTCCATCCCTTGCAACCCCCAAAGCCCTAACTAATTATAGAATGCACCCAGCATCCTGATGGTCTGCTGAAGGGCAGATGGCACAGCTGTGCGCTTGAGGGAACCCTGGCACTGAGCCAGATGGAAGCGATTCTTAAGCATCTGTGTGAAAAGAATGCTATGAATCCCAGGAACATCCCCGGACCCTCTGGTGGCAGACACAGTGAGGACAGCAGGAAGAAGAGCCCTAATTAGACCCTATACTAGGCCATCTCTCCTTTAGATTCTACCCCTGCATCAACTCAGTAGAAGGGAAAAAGGGGGACATGGTGGGAAAAAGAAAAATACACACATGAATGTCTCCCTGCTGCTGCCTCCCCCAAAACCCAAACCCTGCTACAGTGGAATTTAAGATTAGGAAGCCAAACAGACACTCAAGACTCTATTTACTGGAGTAGAAAATAGTTTGGGGGTCGAAACCGTCAGATCCTAAATTATAATAAACTTAGGCCTATCTGAACTTTCAAAGTTTTTGAAGCCCTATGGCATGTGTTATTCCTGCATCAACAGACACTTTTCGAACACCTGATGCAATAGGCTCCATGCTAGGCTAGGGGAGACAGTCAAGGAAGACAGATTTTCTGCTTTCTAGGAGCTCAGAGCCTAATAGTGGGGACAGTTTTGCAAACAGGTAGCACTTAGAGCTACGATAAAGTTAGATGCAGGGTGCTCTGCGGTGCAGAGGAACACCTGACCAAGGACAGGAGGATGAGCTCATCAAATACAGAAATACATTCATGCAGAGGCGTGGGGTAGGGGTGGGCAGTGATGGAACTACATGGAGCTCATGACTGACAGGATGAGTTCTGGTGGCAAAGAGGCAGATGATAAGGTTAGAGAGGGTAGGTGTAGATCAGATCTGAGGACCTGGAAATAATAAGTCACTTAAAGATTTTATATGTCAGAAATATGATTTAAAGAGCTATTTGGAGGATGACTAGAAAAAGGACAGAAGTATGGGTCATCCCCTAATCTAGGTGAGGAATGCTTGAGGTCTGAGGCAAGCCATGGCACTGAGAGCAGAGAGGGGACAGACAGAAGGACTCCTTGGGGAGAGGAGGAACACAATGTACTAGGAAAGGAGCAAGGGGAGAAACCTGGATTTGGGTTTTGTCACCCAGCAGGTAACGATGCCCTTCGCCAGGTCTGGAGGGAAGATGGGAGCAGCTCACTTATGGACCTGCCTAGGTGGAGTGCATGTGGAACGTTCCAGAAGCAGCTGGAAACCCAGCTCCAGGCCTAGAAGCAAATTCTGTGGGGGAGATTTGGAGTCAGCTCTTAAGTAGGAGAGGGCATGGCTGCTGGCGGGGGGCACC